AAACACAATTATTTTCAAAGTTATTATTTTTCTTGCAGTACGTTATTTTAAAAACATTTATGTGTTTTAATATTGTACATAAAATAAATAACAATACCTCAAAGTTAGATTCGTCTGACCACAGTATGTTGGACCAATCCTCCACTGACCAATCTCTATGTTTGAGTGCCCACTCCAACCGATTTTTCTTATTGTTTTCTGACAGCCACGGCTTCTTCCTTGCTTTACATCCTTTTAATCCAGCTTTAAGAAGTCTTCTTCTCACAGTATAAACACTCACTGAGCTGCCTTTTGCCTCAGATAATGCTGCAGCGAGCTCTAAAGCAGTTTTTTTCCTGTTTTGTAGAGACTGCCTAATCAACAATCGATCTTCCCGTTCAGTAGTAACTTTTCTTCTACCTGTTCTTGGTCTATTTTCATGGGTGCCAGTCTCTTTGAAGCGATTTATAGCATATTAAACTGCACATCGCGAGCACTTCACTTCTCGGGCTATTTGAACCTGAGACATGCCTTGTTCATGTAAAATCTTAATTCTTAGACGCTGTTCAGCACTAAGTTCAAATTTTTTCGGCATGATTAACACGTTAAAGGTTAGTCTTTAGAATTGTGATAGGAATAGTTGCGTAGAAGACGTGTATGTTCACTGCAAGCACTGATAACACACTATAATCCGAAATGCAAAAAAAGCAAATTCGAAGAAACACCGCTTAGGAGCACACCTGGATGTCATAAATATTTTCTTTTATCTTAATTTGGTTAAAAATTGCCGCTAATACAATAGCTTAACCATAAAACACACACTTGACCGCAATATAATGAGATAGTGACTAACAATAGGGGTGCCTAATACTTTTGCACGCAGCTGTATTATATAACTAGCTGCGCCGCCCGCGGTGTTACCCGCGGATTTCCGGGATGTAAAGTAGCCTATGTGTTATTCCTGGACGTCAGCTTCCTGTATACAAAATTCTATCAAAATCGGTTCAGCGGTTTGAGCGTGAAGAAGTAACAAACATACACACATGCTCACAAACTTTCGCAATTATAATATTAGTAGGACTAGTTGTTTAACGCGACTTTAGTTACGTATTTTAATATTCTTAAGGATATAGTTACATTAAATTTAATTAAGAGACAATAATTAAGTGAATAGTTTCCATATATACATCTCCTATTCTGACTGGTCTTTGTAAGGTTCGTTAGATGAAACGCTGACACGTTTGTATAGAAGCCTTTGATGATTTCAATTTCATAGTGGCTTCTGAAAGACTAATTATATCAGTGCTAATGTGATGCACGAACACTTTTTTCCTACGAACTTATCAATGCAATCTTTGAGAAAAATATGCAAAATTTTTGAAACTATTTTGGTTGAGAATTCCCATATAATTTGATCAATTTTTTCTACTGATAATAACGTCTTAGAAGCCCTATAGATGGCCTGGAATTTCTTATAGAACATATAATAGTTAAAACGAATACTGTTTTGCTTTAAAACTATAAATGCAAACTTTCAGAAAAATGGGAAAATTTTTTGGAACTATTTTGGTTAAAATTTTTGACTTAATTGCCTCTTTTGTGCTGATAATTATGTCTTAGAAACCCTTTAGATGACCTTCAATTTCTTATACATATAATAGTTGAAATAAGTTTAGAACCATTATTGCATAACCCTTATTCTAGGCGATAAGCCTAAACACACTACCTAAGACCTATAAAAGATAAATAAGCAAATTCTTATCCCACGACCTTTTAACCTTACACAAACAAGTTATGTAATTTTGTGTAACAACAAGACAGTTATTTACATCTGATTCCCTAATTACGTGGCCTATTTTAGTTGCGATTGTTTTTATTTGTATATGAATTAAGTAAATTTTGAACCCAAACATTTTAGGTAGAATTTATTTTAATGTATAACTACTAAATCAACTTTTGAACTGAACATCGGAAGATTAGATGTTCTTGTTTACAAAAGTAGCGAAATTTAAGTAAACGAAAACACATCGATTTCTTAACATTGACCTAAATTGAAACATACTTACGAAAGTAGATTTTTTATATACAGATGTTTAAATCAAAATAATAGACTATTGATCGAACTTAACTTTAAACATACATAAAAAAAAATCACTAGATATTTTGGAACAAAAAATGGTTACAATATTTTATATGAATATTAGTATATAAAGAAAATATAACGGTTATTATAAAATAAAGGGATAATGAGTCAATAAAATGTATTAAAACGGACTGTGGGAAGATCGGAAACACGATCGAGTGGGTTCAGGACCAAATAATAAAAATATCCGCTTACATGTGCGCTTGCATTAACAAAATTGGATGAAACTTTTGTTTTTCATAGTTTCTGACCAAGAAAATGTTTGAATATTTAATGTGCGATAAAATTTTGAACAAATTCTTGACCTATGGGACACTTCTAAATAAGTCATGCAAATGATTTTAAATCCCTACTAATATTATAAATGCGAAAGTAACTCTGTCTGTCTGTCTATTACGCTTTCATGCCTAAGCCACTGAACTGATTTTAATGAAATTTGGTACAGAGATAGAGTTGACCTTGAGAAAAAACATGGGATAGTTTTTATCCCAGACTTTTGAAAGGTTCTCTTGGAAAAGCGATATTACCGAACTCCACGCGGGCGAAGCTGCGGGCGGAAAGCTAGCAGTTGATAAAATCGTTTTATTCTTTCGATTTCCTTGTTCGTACTTAAAATATAAATAATAATAGATAGTATAGGTTGTTGGTAGTATGTTTATATGTTTTTAGTAACATATATGCTAAATATAAAAATATCTTTTTAAATATTTGTTATTTAAGGTAAATGAGAAATTTCTAAATAAATGTCATTACTATTATTAATATCGTCAGTTAGTTAGTGAGTGAAGTAAATATAATTTTTTTATTAAATATAACAATAAATCCAAAAATCTTGATTTTTCTCAAAATAAATATATAGCATATACGCAAATTGTATATATATATATATATATACATCTAAATAATATGATTCACAGCCATATTATTGTAAAGATAAAAAACTTAGTTCACGCGAACCGATAAATGATATCAGTATTGATAAAAAAATATATATTAATAAAATATGTTATCACCGGAAAATGTTATTAACAAACGGTAAATACAATGAGATGATAAGGAATTTCTGAATGAAATATTTAGATTAAATCTATCATATGATAAATTTTGCAATCAATTTCCTATAACATATAATTTTAACATTAAAATAGAATAATGTTACATTAAACGATTAATCTTGCAATAATGACGATTCAACTAAATATGAAATAAATCATAAACTAAATAGGATTATATTATACTATTTGAAATATTTTCATCGTCATCAGCCTATCAGAGCCCAGTGTTGAGCAAAGGCCTCTTTCTCACATGGAGAAGGTTTGAGCATTAATCACCACGCTGGCTCAAGATGGGTTGGTGATTTCAAACTTATAATTGTAATTTTTTTTTAAATATATGGAATATAAACAAAGCAATGTTTGGCACTTTAACATATTGGGTATAAATTAAGAATCATAATTAGATATAAATAGTAACAAGATTGTATATATAGATATATATGTATGTATGTGTCCTAATTACACATAAATTTAACAAATTCCATACTAAAATGGTGTTAGAAAGTAAATAGAGATGTTGAAATGTATCAGAAATGATTTTTAATGAAATTGTATCATAATAATTTGTTTATCTTAATAAATTATATGAAAATATTATATTCCATCATCTGAAAAAGTCATAGTGTTAGACAATTTAAACATACTTCTATTTACAGTTAGTTAAAAAACATTTATGCAGTTGTATGCATTATCATTCGGTATTATAGTATGGGAAGAATTATCAGGACTTGGTGGGAATTTTTATATAATAACTTCATTTACAATAGATATGTTATAAAATAGTTTTCATAGCATTATGTATGATTACCCAGGTTTAAGTTTTCACACTACATATAAAGTCTTTTTCTTCTACCTGTCAATTTCCCAGTTTTAGCCAGGGTCTGCCTTTCATGTTGTGAACAATTTTGGCTAATTGTTTTTACAACCGGCCGCCTGCCTGACATCAACTCTCTTTTGGGAATACACTACATTAAAGAATTACCTATTTAATTTAAAATAATATTATTAAGATTTATGAATGAAAAAATTTTAATGCTCGGTATTTAGTGTGACAATGCTTACTTGAAGAACGCATAAAAATAATTTACTTGTTACTATTTACTCATTTAACTTATTAATCATTAAGTACAATTTTCTACTTTTTAATTATTGAATAAAAAATATATTTAAGTAAAAATGCAGATAATGAGTGAAAAAAATATTCTGTTGCTGTTAATTATGTAAGGAAAATGTATATTTCTTTTACTACAAAGATTATATCGAGTAAGACCATTTAATAATTTATATATAAAAAAATATATATTATAGATTTTATTATTTCTAAATAGCATATTTTAACAATAAAATCAAACTATTTAATAATTTATTAGGTCGTTGACATCACTTCCTGTTATAAAAAATGACTAATTTAAAATTCAAATTTATATATATTTGCTAATAGTTTCGATCATTATTAACCAACATAGATTATTTAAATTGCTACTATTAACAAAGAAACATTTTATATGGATAATTCAAATTATTTGGTACAAAAACTAATGTAATAAGATTTTATTTATTTAGCATATTTATGCGATTATAAGAATTTATAACTTGTTTATAGAATGATTACTATTTAAACACTAAGATTAAATTAAATTTGTATACAAATCATGAAGGATGATGATGAAATGGATAATTTATTTGTAATTTCGATATTTTTACTACAAAATCATAGCAAAATTTCTCCAAGCCTGTGTTTATTATAAGATTTTTCTGGATGTTTAACATAAGTAAACATGTTTCGTGTATATGAATGGTTGTTTTTATATTAGCAATCTTACCTGTTACCGAAATTCGCCCTCCAGAATTCGGCGGCATCGCTTTTCGTTATACGAAACTGGTCGCCAGCGAATGTACCGTTGGGGAACATAGCTTTCAACTCGCTCAACATGTGACTAAAAACAAGGCTCAACTTCGTCAAATTACGTCTGAAATGTGAGTTTTCGTCGAACATTTTCTCCTTCCCCTCTTTGAACAACTTTATAGCCTGCTTACATTTTCTTATTAAATTTATTATAAATATATTAAAATGTTCGTTGCTATTCAACTCCTGCATGTTGTTTTCGTAATTGGAGTAAATAATACGCAACCTCTGATATGTGTCAGGTAAAATATCGAGAATAAACGGCGGACTATTTTTTAAATTCATTTTGTGATGCTGGCATAGTTTTACCACTTTGTCCATCAACTTCCAAGTTTTGTCTAGTGTCCGTTTGTCTGTCGTCAGCTTTGTTTGACACATAGCATCAGAGAAAGCACCATGTAACTTAGAAAATATCGAAGATATATTTTTCTGTTGTGATTTGTGACGGGGAGCCGCCATATTGAAGAGCTCGATGACATACAAAATAAAGTAACTTTTTAACAAAACACTGAACTTAAAACACGTTTATCACTTTATAATTATATAGTCTAACATATGTTTTCTCATTATTACACAAACACACCACATTTACGAAACTAATGTTTTACATCACGTAGCAAAACGATCGCTCACTGACACATCCCCGACGCGTATGACAACTGACAACCTTATAGTTTGTTTGACAAAATTACAAAATGACAACATGGTCTTTCAGCTTGGGATTAAACGCAAAAGATAGTATTGCCAACAGTGAAAAAGCATTCCAAAGAGATGTGGCATGTAAAAATCACAATAATATTATTAAGATACATTCCTGAAGATCTAGAAACAATTCTTTTTAAATATTTTCTGTGATATTCCTTACTTTTCACAATAATTTAGGAAATTTATTTCGAGGTCATGTATTTTAGATGTCATTAATATTTTGGAGGGATAGGTATAAAGTTAATTTAAACAAGTAATGGCTCTAATTAGTGGTATATAATGAAGAGAAAATGCATTATTACGGTTTTAAAACTCTTTATTGAAAAAATCCAAACTGTTTTAAAATAAAACCGTATAGTTTTAATAATAACAATTGTATAGTAACATTAAAGCAACAATGAAAATAATATTTGGAAAGTTCTCAGTATTTATTCAATGTAGTAAAAAGAAATATGACAAGGTGACGTTTGATCGCAAGTAGATGTTACACACGCCATCTTGTTGATTAATTTATAACTAACTATGTAAAGAGATCCCTTATGAAATTCTTCATTAGTTAACAATAATACCAACAGATGGCGCAAATCATAACTTGATTTTATTGAATATATATTAATACCATTGAATTATAATAGAATTATTCCTCTTCATCATCAATTCCTAGAAATATCTCTGATGCAGCAGTGGTCGTTGTTGTTAAACGTCGGTGCTTGCGGCGCCTGCTGTGACGTTTGCCAACTTTGTTGTGCCTCCTACTAAAATTATTTATTTTAATATTTCTATTAATTATTGTGTACATCACAAATAGTATATCAAAAACAAGGACTGGGTTGAAACAATAAGTTTTTAGGCCTCCAAATTTTTTACATGTGTTAATTAAAGAAACTACTATAAGTCTAAATTTAATTTTATAATAGCTATAGGTAATAACATTAATAGATGTAATTAAAATTATATATAATATGGTTAGTTGAGATTGCAAAAATATCTAATATTTTTACTTAGTTATTTACAAAATTATATTAATTTATTATTATAAACTAACCTTTTCCGTGTCGTGGTTGCAAGTGGCATCAAATGAGAGACGTGTTTCGGCTTGAAACTTCCGGAATACCTTGATTTTAATATTATAGTTTTATTAAAATATCATAATTATTTTGCTCTCACTATCAGATTTATCTAACATATGAATAATAATAACTTAATAGAGAAGATTCAGAATATTTGAAGTATATAAAGAGGTAGATAGTTCATTGTTAATGAAATTAAAATAAATAATAGTGAATTTATTTAGGAAACACTATAATTACTTGTCATAATTCTGGCACGGGTCTTGTTCGTATGCGTTGAACTTTTGTATACCACCTCTGACACCGATAAGGATATTATCGGCTGAGTCCATAGCGAATGTATTTACGCCACTTATATTGAAAGTTCCCAAATATTTTGCATTAGCATTCTCCGCGTCTATGCTATATAGATTGCTGTTTTCATCCATAGCGTAAATCTCGTCTGATCTGCTAACAAATACTCCGGTAATTCTTTCGCTTGGTAAGCCTTTTATTTTAATTGGTATGTTATGACCGTTCTTTAATACGTGGGATGTCTGTGTTGCTACGAAGAATATATTGTTTCTGGTGTCCACAGTAATGCCATGCCCGTTTGGTATAGCTGGAAACATTTCCTGTTTTTGTCCCTCGTTCATTATTTTGTGTACTCTATTCTGTGGCCAGGTAGCTATATACATGACGGAGCCGTCATTGGACACTGTTACATACATAACATCTTCTCCTAACGCCGCATAAAGTTCTATAGAACCGTCCTCTTTGTATTTGTAGACTCCGTTATCGGTTGCCAAATAAACCACATCGTTAAGGTTATCTACAGTCGTGGACTGACCTAGACCAGCAACTTTGATAGTTTCAGCTTCACCACTCGGATGTAAAACTTGGAGGCTCATTTTCATATTATCATTTATCAGCGTGTAAAAAACATTACCAGTTTTCCAATGTACACTCATATCAGCGGGAATACCTGTCACGTTTTTTGTCTCATCGAACGAATAGTACAAATTATTGATATTTATAAGGCTTTCACAGAACTGTGCTCTTTGCGCCTCCTTCAATAGATCCTGTCTTGTCATCACTGGAACCGCCAGGACCCGTGATATCAATGTAATAAATATTATCCTTATCATCTGAAAAATTAATTATCATGAGTAATCTGTACTACATTTCCAAAACAATTACGTAACTATAATACCTTTTGTTTCAATTATACTTTTGTGAAAGCGTTTACAACATCACAACTACACAACTCAGCCCCTAATAAGTTAATTAACTCAGTTATCACTTATATATACAAATGAGTGATGATTCATTGAAAACAACAGTTATTGTAATACAAACCTTATTACACGAAATATAGAGCATAATTTTGAACAACATCATCGAGATTAAATGTCAATTCCAGATAGTAAACAATATTTGTAAACATCATTTCAAATGAAAATAATTACGATACGTTGTATTAAATGGAATTTGTTTTATTATTGATCGTATTATCCGTATCTCTTGGTATTTACCAAAAAATAATACATTAGTTTTTGGGTTATTTTTCGTTTTTTATATAGTTTTTATTAAGGTGTAGTTTATTAATTAAAGTCACTGATTATTATAGAATGTCAGTTAATCAGTTTATTTCGATATATTTCTTGAGTATTGTGGATTTTAAGTGGAATTTAAGCATCATAAATCCATTTGAGAAGGATGGAATTGATTGTATGCTCTTCGAAATTCTGTATTATTTGGAATCTTATGTACCTTACTTACCTTAATCTTACCTTTGGAATTCATAGTAAATTTATATGAGAGGTTTGCTCTGAAATACAGCGGTGTTTTGTCATAATACTAGCCTTTATAGTTTTAAATATACCCTCAATACTAAAAGTCACAGGAAGAGTTACAAGAACCATAATGAAATAATTCTGTATAAAGGATTTATTTTCAGAACATTTCAGAACATATAGCCAAATTATGAATATACACGTAAAAAGGAGAAGTACTTTGTTGAAGTAATTTGACAAATAGAAATGGATTAGTAGATAAAAAATATAAATTGGTTCTACAAAACTGTGACTTTTTGTAATTAAAGCATTGATTAATTATTTTTCGAATCTCTTTCATTTATTTACGATATATGTATTAAAAACTACGGAACCAATTTTTCTAAGAATTTTCTTTCGAACATTAACTGTAGTTTTAAACATGTTTTTCTTATAAAGTTTTGAACACATACAGTCTGTGATATCTAAGACTTACACTGAGACTTTATCGTATCCTGAAAGTTAATTTAGGTCTTCCTATATGTTTTTGCGTCTTAAATCTTTAAGTCCATAAATATAAATATAAATTATAGTATGTATGTATGCTTTAATATATTACTATATCTGTGTGTGTGTATTTGTGTATGAGTGTGTGTTTTTATAACCATGATATATGTCTACTTTAAATATTTCTCATACGACAGTAAGTTCAACTTGTAGAAAGCAATTTAAGAAGTTCGAGTGTTCCCGGACGGCCAAATAACCTGATTTATGAGCTCATATAAGCATAGGTGTCGTTACATTTAAGATATTTTCGGTTAGGTTAGTTGAGACATCATTTTTCACAAACCTTCGTACGTCATGGCGTATAATAAATGAAACTGCCTTCTTTATAAACAATTTTATGCAATAAATAAAAAATAGCCCTTATTTCGTTGCAATAAATGTGAATAGAATATAATTTAGTTGCAAATATAAATTTGTTGAAAAGATTCGACGACTAATCTAGACGGACCTGTGGTAATGTGGTCACTTCATTGCATTGAAGGTACTGTATAGATCAAGCTATAGTGGACATCTTAATTTGAGTATTATGGAAATTTCTTGATGGTATTATCGCGTAAGGAAGTGTAGCAATTTCGCCATTGAAATGTTTCTATCCCTTTTTTAACTTTCCCTGAAATGTCGATCCTATTGGCATTTAAATATTTTATACTCTGTCATGCGTTTTAATTGCTGGAATATCGAAATTTTATATATAACTAGAAGACCCGTTGAACTTCGTATCGCCGTATCATCAAGAAATATTTGTTACGTTTTTTTATTTATATTTTTGGAATTTCCGTGTTTTGAAGTACAACAGTCAAATCTAATGTCAAAAAAAAAACGTTTGTATCAAAAACTACTAATAAATTAAAAAATTATTAAAAAAACATTATCCAGCGGACAAAATTGTGAATCTAAACAATTCCCAGATCCCCTTGAACACACACAAAAAATTGCGTCAAAGTCGGTCCAGTCGTTTGAGAGAAGTTCAGTGACATACACACGCACAGAAGAATTATATATATAAAGATATAGGTAACCATAACAACGAGTTAGCGCTATTATGTGTTTTTATTCGAAGTGGTTAAGGTTTTCAATTAAAATTACAAAAAAATTACAAAAATCATTTAGCAGGATTTGAACCTGTGATTTTTGGAATATGAAGTTCTATACATATTTGAACACTTTATGTACATTTTTTAACTTTTATATGCATTTTAATTCAGTTATTTCGGTTAAATCTTTAATGTTAAAACCTTCTTATGGGAATTTAGATATTGATTTGTGCGATGTGTTTACATTTATACATTATTTTCTGGGGAAATTTGACTTTTCTTTCAGAATATATTAAAATTTAGATCCTATAATTATTTTTCTGGCAGTGGCTATATATAATACTTGCTTTTATTGTATTAATTTTTCTTTCTTAGCAATTGCTACTATCGTTGTTTTTGATATTAATATTTTATAAGGCGTTAACAGATAACAGACATATTAATATTTATACCCAATTAATTCTTATCGTTCTTCTCTTTACTTTTTTAAGGAAACTTTGAGTTGAATTTGAGTCATTAAGTTGAGAATGCCTAGCTGTAATTAGTCATCTGCACTTAATTTTGGGACTGTCTTGACCCAAGTAGAGTTAACTCTATTTTAAGAGAAAAGTGGCAAACGAGCAGACGGTCTAATTAATGGGCAGTAGTTACCTTCGCCCATGGATATATGCAACACCTCTTATGTTGCAGATGTATAGCTAGCCTTGGTTTTGGACGAAGAAGGACCTTTTATACAATATCTCTGTAGGGTTTTGATTTTTCGTTCGAAGAGGGAGAGATCCCACAGTCTCTCCCTTTCCTTTCTTCTACTCTGTTTTCCGTGGAGGTTATTTTGTGCAGTGATCGTCTGTTCTTTACAAACTTAGGTCAGTTTTAGAAGCTGTCCATGTTTCGTTGACATGGGGTAAATAAAGAACGAAGAGAACTGTGCTAAACTGGTCAACCATTGGTTCGTAATAGTCCCTAACCTAGGTTGCCCCAGTTTAGTAAAGTCATAATACCACGAATAAAACTAGACTATCGTTTATTTGCTATGTAAAAGCATTATGTTTTTACTCCATAACTACCTTACGAGGATAAAAAAGTATTAAAAACAAAATTTAGCATGTGTTTTTAGCATTATTACCACACCTGCAACATTGTGGAACTAAACTATTACTACTACAATAATAGAAAAAAAAAATCTAACTTAGTTGATAATAAACGTACTCGTAGAATCAAGAAAAACATTATAAGATAAAGACATTTTGGGCAGAGATATTATGAAAGTTTTTATTTTATCACAGCTTAAAAAAAATCTATAAATCAAGAGTTAAGACGTGAACTTTTTTAATAATGGCCGTTTAAAAGAGGTTTAATTTTGCAATGGATTTCCAATCGGACAGTTGGATTTCTTTGGAACTATTCTAATATTAAAAAACTTTGTAAATTAAATACGTTCAGTTATTTAGTTTATGCTTTTAGAATATAAATAGTGTAAGTAAATATATTTATTTGAACTTATTTGCTCTAAGATATTATTAATTCATTAAGGTAACGTAAATTTTCCTACATTTCTTATGAAAACTGATGTATGTATTTCATGTATCTGTAAAGTTGTAATTACATAGTAACAAACAAGAATAATCACTGAGCCAATATTATTTAATGTAACTTTTTATTTTATAGATACAATGTACATATTTTTGTCTAAAGGTTATTTTATATAATTTGTTATATAACAAAGTTAAAGTACTTAAAATAAAATAAGTAATGTCTGAACAGTTCCTTATAAATCTATTACCATAATCTCGTAAAATAAATAATACTATATGCCTAAATGTTTCTGAAATACTTTCATATTATTATGATTGTTAAAAAAAATCGTGTTACAATCAGTAGGCGCTGAAAATTATAGAGTGATGTAACTTATCAATGGTAGTAATCTAAACTAATATTATAAAGAAATAATATTTTTTTGTTTGTTTGTTTGTTACGAATTGGCTCAAAAACTACTGGACAGATTTTAAAAATTCTTTCACCATTATGATTGTACATCTTTCCAAAGTAACATAGGCTATATTTTATTTTGAAAAAAATTAGGGATCCTTGCGAAAACTTCGATAACATAAACCACGGTCGATAAAAATCACTATTGAAATACCTTAAATCGCGTGCGCTGCAATAACTATTGATGATGGAGCAAAATAATGTACTACGATTTTGTTGACCGCATTATTATCTACAGAAAAGTCCGCGGTAGTGTAAATCTAAGTAATATAGTTACGCCAATATGAAAACTTTTATAATTTAACAAACTATTTAAATCGGCAACGAAAATAAGATGTCGATATTCATACCATGGTATTTATACTTATCTAAATAACTTACTTTTTATTTAACAGTAGTTCAATACCTTTATATTGCTGTTTAAATTATTTTAATCGGATACTCCATTCAAAAGATATAGCGAGTTTAAAAATTTGGGTAACTTAAAAATTAACTAAGCGTTTCGGTGCATCGCGTCGCGATGTTGATTGTGCGTATCTGAACTGCGCATGTGCGTGAAATGTCTATTGTGAATAAAATTGTCTTTGACTTAACTTAATTTCAACAAAAAACTTTAAAGATTACAATGATAAATAACTCCGAAACAAAACCAACTCGCTCTCTGGGCTGGCCGGCGCGGCGGGAGAGAGGCAGTGCTTGCGGGCGAGCCGGGAGGGGGGTGTAGCTCCGCGAGATACCATGCCACGCGGCTCATTCCCGAGGTCGGCTCCATACTGAAAAATG